AGAGAGAGAGAGAGAGAGAGAGAGAACAGAGGAAAAGCCGTTTCCTCCGGGCGAATCCTCAGGAGCCGGAGCAGTTCCGTGTAAATGATATTTACGACTGGCCTGGCCGGATTCTACGACGACTTTGCACGGATTAGCCGTAGTTAACGGGGCCGGCTTAGAGATTCTGTTTCCCCGAGTGGAAACACTTGGGAGATAATTAACGGACTTCTGCAGAGCGATAACGGCGACTTCGGGGCAATTCTTGGTAATTGTCGGGACCGTGTTTCCTTTGACGACAAACATTGGAACGAGTGTGCAATGTGTTCCCGTGGACGATCTTTGGAAAAAGTGGGTAGTAAAAGGGGTAAATGGGGCGAGGAGCGTTCTAGTGGAATTATGAAAATATGAGTAATGAAAGTAATAACGACAATAATCATAATAATGATAACAACGAGAGTAATACTGGTAATGGTAGTACTAGTGGCGAGTTATTGAACAGGAGGTTATTTAGCATTGAATATAATGGAACATGAAATTTATTTATTGATGTATTATCATTGTCATATTGTTTGTATTACGTTGCACTGTACTCCATACGTAGATCTTTGTAAATACGCAACGCAGAAGATATTAATTATAATCCTCCGCATTAAGCTTGAAATGGACATTGTAAGTTTTGTAAATATGTCGATAACCATGTTCGTTTAGTTTTCAAACGATGTGAATTCGTAGAGGAACTATTATATTCAGTCGTAGACGCTGAGATACAGTGAAACAGAATATACATTATTAACAGAAATGAAAATATAAAATCAGAGCACATCGTGAAACATGAAGTTTTTGATAAATTCGAAAAATAATCAGCAAAACTGAAACTATTTGTTTAATGTAATTCACAAATATCGTCTCACAATTCTAACAACGTTAAGGTTAAAACAAAAGTAATATTGAATTTAATTGTAATCTCTATTACATTAACAAACCCTCCATAATAACCATCAATAATTCTACACGCTTAACGCACATTTAAAAAAGCTATCCAAAATATGATTCCTCACTTGTTGGGAAATATAACAACTCGAATCCTGTTCGCGATAAATGTCATTCAGTTACAAATATTCCTTAAAAGTCCGCACGAGTTTTACAACGCGCTCGGTCCACTGAGAAAACGAAAAGAATAAAAGAAACAGGAGGATATATGCGTGTATTGGCCATTACAGGCTCACGAAGTTCCACCGAAGTGTTGGATGGGGATATTCCTTATAAGTTTCTCGCCGCTGGCGTCGCCTGGGACACGGTGCAGAGCCAATCCGGTGTTCGCGGGCCATTATACCCGATCATAATTGCGTCGCAACAACGTTTCTCCTTTTCAATGTCCACAGTTGGGCGGCGGCCTTTCATCTCGTCGCCCAGCCGAACGAGCCTCTGTTTCCGAGGTGTTTCCGCCGCCGGTTACCGTCCTGGAAGCTGGAATTTAATCCTAAGTAGCCCGCGTCGCAATAAAGGTGGCCGCGGAAGAAAGAGAGCCGGAGGATCTGGCCCGGTGCGGCAAAAGGCCGGGAGGTGCAGGGGAAGATTGAAGGAAGGTAGCACGGTGGCGAAACACACCGGCACGGTCCGGCGAAAAAGAGAGGAGAGGAGGACGAGAGATTGGCGCCGGCGTGGACCGACGTTTCCTCCTTTTAAATTATTCCCGCGACCTACTACTCGTTCGCTGGATCGGGTTTGTTATTGCCTTGCATACTCTCCTGGTAAATTTGTTAAAATTGAAGGAATTCAATTATATTATAGATAAATTTCATTAAGTTTTAATCAACTTCTCATGTTTCGTTTGAGAGTAGAAGTCTTGGATTGGAATTGGAGATGATCAATTGTGTTTCATGGATTATTGAAAAGATTTCGTTTATTAACAGGAGTTTCTTTGGTAATAGGATTATAGGGTTACGTTTATAATATAAGAATTTATTTACAAAAATTCTAGGTAACCTGGTTCGTTACGAAGCGTTTATCGGAATTGCTTTAATCGCGTTAGAATCAAGTTTTAACTACCTTCGCGGAACAAAGGGTCGAAAAACAGCTTACCATTGGCAGATTTTCATAAATAGATTCCGCTCGAAAGTGGTGTTTGTAGTTTGTTTATAATGTGCCCGGGAGCTATGCAGTTTAACAGCATTAGCTGCGTGGTAAACAATATTCCCATCCCGAGATGTATTTAGCCAACAAGTCCAGTAATGGCGCCGGTCATTCCAGAGCTACGCGAAGGACTCAACGATGAGAAGCTTATCTCCTTCACTTGCAATTTCTGCGCATTCAGCCGCGGTATCTCGTCGGCTCATTATCATAGACGATGATTAACGTCCTTAGCCTGGCGCTTCCAGTTTGTAACTACGCGCGGCGAGGACGGGGATTCCTCGGGTATCCGGTTAATTCGATTCCAGGCACGAGTCCGAAATTAGAATTTTTCAAATTTTGAAAAGTTACGAGCCCGGTTGCTGCATTATGTAAACATTCGTTGGACCATCTGCCGCGGAATTTATGCCGCGCGCTACTACCCTCTTTCTCTTCGCGCTGCGAAAGGATTTTGAAAACTCACCTATTTATTGGAAATAATTGAAAACCGTTGAAACCGTGCATAGTCAATTTTTATTTCACTGTTTTAAAAATATTGTGAAGTTATATCTTTGCTTTCCGCTAAAAAATTGAACTTTTCATCAGACCGGTTCGCAATATTTTAATCAAGAGTGGTTAAATATTCAAAAATAGTAATGTTAGCGTAATAAAAACATGAAAAATTTGCTATCTTGGTTTCGTTTGCCTATCGTTAACCAATTAAAAATTTTAATCACGACGATCTACGTAATTCGCGTGAAGCAGATCAGCATAAACGTCGATACTGTTCTCTATAAAAAATACTCCGAAAATTATAATTTTTTCACTCTTGATGATTCAAGGTTTCTTTTCATCAAATATATAAATTCTTTCAAGTTACACAATGAAATGATGGTTGTGACACTGTAACGGAAAGCAAAATATTAAACAAAATAAAATAAAAATGGATGATTTTCATGTGTGTTACTTAGAGTAATTTCCACTATACATAGCGAGTATTATTTAGACAGGCAGCATAACAAAAGAAATTTTGTACTCTAGATCTCAGTGTGCCTGACGGCCCTAATGCTCACGATAGCGGCGGAGGAGAAGCCGACGAACACAGTTTCGGTGTCTTCTGGCTCGCCGGTGATCCAGAGCAACACAATACAGAAGCTGATCAAGATCCTGGAGAAGTACGGTCTGGAAGAGCAGAGGGGCCTGAAGAGAGTCTATCTGAGCAACAGGTCGATCACTTGCAACGACGGATCCCAGGCAGGATTTTACCTGCGAAAGTCGCACGGTTCGAAGAGGTGGATCATTTTCCTGGAAGGTGGCTGGTACTGCTACGATTACAAGAGCTGCAGGAACAGGTGGTTACGGCTGAGGCATTTGATGACATCGACTCAGTGGCCTGAGACACGCGACGGTGAGCAACCTTTTCCGCTGGAGGGCTGGCGCGTTCAGCAGCCCGCTGACACTTTCTAACGTTTCCATGGAACATGGTGTTCCGCAATCCTTTTTTTCCGCTCGCGGCACGCCGGTAATGTTGCTCGCGCGACACGTGACGGCACGTCGCATTGTTCCGGTCCGCGACGTTCAACCTACTTCGGAGAATGCGTTTTCAGTGTTCAGATGTTCGGGTACAGCGCTACTATTGGCAGAGTTCAAGGAAATGTTTCGTAATTTTTTTGCAGTGGATCATTTGCGTTCTTCACTCTTGGTTTTATAGTTTCAAGTCAGATTCGCGATAAAGATTTCTAATTAAATTCTAATAAATGGAGCATAATTGTATTGTGTTTTTATTTTGATTATTATGTAACCGTTTTATCTAGGGAAGCTAAGTGTAATAGTTTATTCTTGTTCGTTGCAGTCGGTGGCCTCTTATCAGCAAATCCGGAAGAGAATCCGTTTTGGTGGAATGCGAATCACGTGTAGGTATTGTCCATCTTGGCAAGACTATTTTCAACCTAACGAAAGATATTAAATTATCGTTCAAAGAATTTTAATCTGACAATAGATGAGAATTAACAATATTGATAAGAAGAAAAATCATTTTTGGACACTTTTAAAATCTTAGAATTCCTACAATTGGTTATAAGAAGCGAATGATAACGCATTCGTGACGAAGCTCCTTTGTTTTCTTTTTTAGATTCGTTCCGTATTGTACGAGCGACAGTTGGAGCGGTACCAGGGCCTCGCCGAACGACATGTTTTCGTTCATGGGGGCAGAGATCGTATTGCAAGTGGTGCGGGACCTCGTCCCGCTTGGTCTTGAAAACGCTAGCTCCCTTCTTTTGGCAGGCAGCAGCGCGGGTGGAACCGGTGTCATGTTGAATTTGGATCACGTGCACAATTTGGTTCGCCATGAATTAGGTGAGACAGGCTCCCTTTGATCGTTCAACGACCCGTAAACTCATTCAACATTTAAACAGGTATTGCCGGAACCGTTCAGCCTCACGCGCTATCAGAATCCTCTATTTATTTTTCGTATTATAAACTACACAGTGCTGAATTAAAAAAGAAATACACACACACGCATTTACCTACAGTTCCATTTGTCGTCGTTTAGTTGGCACCAGCTCTGATCGGAGATAATATAATTCAATCCCTTTTATTTGAATTAAACACGGACACGCTTTCCTCTGTTTTACGAGAATTAAAAATAATATAATATTCCACGGCAGTGAAACTGTAGCAGAATAACTGCAGAATTGTTCCAATAATACGTAACAGAAATTAGTAAAAATAATCTTCGAAAATTTTCGTGGAAAATTATGTGAATGATTCGCGAATGCTTATGCAGATTTGTATTCTGATAAAGTGATTTATAAAATAGTTCTGCATTGCGGATGAAAACTAGAATAGATATGTTTATTAAATTACTTAAATTCTTTTCTTCGATCGCAGTTCGTACATTTTTGTGTGTTATAAAATTTTCAATCGCTATAAAAATTTAGATATATTTAATTGTAAATGTACAAATGCCAGTTTATGTGTACACAAAAATACAGAATATTTGTCGAATGTATAGTGTTCATATGCTAATGTTATATGACGATTGTGCAGGTTTGAAGCATATCGCCATACGGGGTGTGTCTGATTCAGGGTGGTTCCTGGACAGAGCGCCCTATTCGCCGAATGGTTTATCACCCGTCGATGCGGTTCAGAAGGGGATGGAGCTTTGGAAAGGTCGGATGCCGCACAATTGTGTCGCGAAACACCCGAACGAACCGTGGAGGTGTTACTTTGGATACAGGCTGTACCCAACTCTCACTGGTAAAACACTTTCTAGCCTACTCCATATTTTTAATCTACCACTTTCAATCCATTCCAATATTAAAAATTGCATCATTAAAAAGAAAACAGTAAACTTGTACGTAGTATTATCCATAAACACGAAAGAAAAAGTAATATTTCAAGAAGAAGACTTAAAATTAATAAAAGTTTAAAGAATTTATAAATAATTCGAATTACTAGTTATACGTACTAATAGAATAAAAATTTCTTTCTTTTTTCTCTGTAAAATGGATGCTTCACTTGTAATGTTTGCTTCTAGTTTTATAATACCCTGTACGTTAAAATTGGTCTATTAGAGGCGCGAAAATGAAATGGCAACACGATCGTGGCTCCCGCTAACGGAAATATTTGCTTCCCGGAAAATCATAGCGCCCCTGTTCGTTTTTCAATGGCTGTTCGACGAGGCGCAGATGTCGGCTGACAACGTGGGTGCACCGGTGACGAAGCAGCAGTGGGATTACATACATAAGATGGGTGACAGCCTGCGGCAGACCTTCGAAAACGTTACCGCGGTCTTTGCTCCGAGCTGCATTAGTCACAGCGTCCTGACGAAGAGGGATTGGCAGTTGGTTAAAATAGACGAAGTTTCCTTGGCACAGGCGTTGCATTGTTGGGAACAAATGCCAATCGGAAATCACCGTAACGAGTGAGTACCACCAGACACCGTGAAAGTGATCCCTTTGTCGTAGAAAGCAGGCCGTTCGATCGATCTACTGACAATGGAATGCCTTCCATACGTCGCGCGTAGATAAGAATTAAGGATTTACCTTCTTTTGTGTTCCCGACGTTCCCTACTGTTCGATCATTAATAAGCTTTTCACACAAACCCTATTTGTTGTTAAATTATTTCATTAATTCTAACAAATCTATTAAGCAGAAATTCTAAATATTTTATTCGGCATCGATTCTAATATATTTAAACCAAAATACAAATATTTTGAAACTATGTTTCTTCACGACAGTCTTGAGAATCCTTTTGAAAGGAAGTATTTATACAAAAGAATCTACTACGATAAATTTCTACATCATGATCGCCTTTCAATCGTTCTAGCTACATTAGAAGTACGATTTCAAAGTGAAATTAATCGCAAAATTAAAATTCCGAAATAATCAGTCACAAATACGATATTCTAGATCTCCCTAGCATTCCCGATGCAACAATGAAACTATTGTTGCAAAAATCAGATCAATATTCTTCCCCGCGTTTCACTGTGCTCCAACGAGAAAAACCTGCGAGATTTACGGTCACGTCGGTACTAATTCCAGCACTCGTTCGCCAATTGAAACGAACCAGCCGTGCGCGAAGTCTCTGCGGAAGCTGTTGCGTTCCGGGCTGACGAAGGGAAACGGAACTTCGCTCGAGCTCGGGAGGCCCGGGAAAACTGATCCCGCTTCGGAGCTGCAGAAAGTCGCGTCCGCGACCATTACGAAGCCAGATGAGAGGAAATCGTCGCCAGCCCCGGCGCAGGAACGGGAGAACAAAAAAAGGAAGAGGCGGAAACACAAAGGGAGGCGACGGGACAGGAACAAGGAGCCGAGGACGAAGAAGGAGAGGCACGAGCGGAGAAAGGCTGCAGGTACGGTTCTGTGAGTAATTGCATTAAAAACAGGCGAAGGCGCGATTTAAGTGTCGAAACAGGGCCGTGTCGTTTCGACGGGATTATTCTACGTAATTAAACGGGTCGACGTTTATCTTTATCGGACCGTGATGAAGCGAAGAAATGATATCGATGAAACGGCGCAATTAGATCGAGAAGGGCTCCGCGATAGAATAAGACGGATCGTGCGCCGAGACGTTTTCCACGGAATTTAATTTCCACTTTATTAGCATTTATATAGCGTATTCGAGACGGAAAGAAGGGAAATTTACGATTTTCTTCTGCGCTGCGTTTCATAACTGCGAAACCACCCTGAATTTACCGTGCTCTGTATATTTCAATTAAGTTTAATTGGAGGCGAGATTAGCACGTGAAAGTGGATAGGAAAGTTTTGTATAGGTAAGTGGAAAAAAGTATTAACGCGGTGTTTCGCGTTTATGAAGAGAGGATTAGGAAGATTTTTCCACATAGAAAACCAAACTTGATATACTTTCTGAACTTATAACTTGGGTCATTTAATAATATCAACTATTCAATTTCCAATTTTTAATCCTGGTTTCTTGTAAGTTTTCGATAGAATCTTAGTCGAATAATTGAATTCTTGTTAACACTGCGAATACCCACGATCACACGATACAACTTTCTCGATAATTTAGTATAATCTCCACCAAAAGGTCCATTACTCGTTAATCGTTAAAACGCGTGAAATTTGTTGATGTCAGGTCGCCGAAAGGGTAACAAGCAGAACAACGACAACAACCACACGGGCATGTTCAACGGCACCAGGCCTCAGCGCTCGGTGATACCATCTGGCAAACGGAAGTGCGTCCAGGGCTGCCACTTCCGGTTAATCGAACGTTGCACTTGGCCGCAGTGTAATCACAGCTGCCCGAAGCTCCATAACCCGTTCACCGGCGAGGAGATGGACTTCATCGAGTTGCTGAAGAGCTTCGGGCTGGACATGAAGAGCGTGGCGAATGCTCTCGGCATCGACATACAAACGCTGAACAGCATGGACCACGATGAACTGCTGAATCTTCTGACGCAACGAGCTAATTAACGCACAGAAGATCCAAGGCGGCGATGGAAGTAAAGCGTGGCACACGTTTTCCAACACTCGAAACGCTCAGGACTCGAATCGTGCACGAGATCCGCGCATGTGTTCGTTCGTCGTACAGTCGTCGTCCTCCTTCGATTAGAAATGAACTTTCATGATCTCGAAGGAAATCCGGGTGAAAATAAAGAATGAAACGATGGGCTAGCGTTTCCGTTACGTCCGGGGGTGAACGGACTTCTGACGTTTTGGATGGAGTTCGAACCAAATCGAATGTACATAATTTATTAGTGTACGCAACGTTCGGTACGTTCGTCAGAGGGACTGTGTCAACCCAATCGAGCGCGGCAATCGAATCCCGTTCGATTCCCAGTCTTCCTCCGGCGCGGCCGTTGCCGCGCGATGAACCTAACGAGCGACCGCCTCCCGACCGAGCCGCGAATTTCAATTCTCGAAACGGGCGAACCACAGCCGCGCTCGGCGAAATGTAATATTTCGACACGTCCTCGCGAGCGGCCGGATATACATATTTTAATTTATTTCGATAGCGCGTAGGCGAATCAAACGGGCATGTAACCACGTCGCTACGATCCAATCCATGCGCGCGTTCGACGTCGATCGCTGATGATCAGCCATGAGGCTCGACTTCCATTTTACCAAAACAACATTTTATTTTCTCTTTTTTGTTTTTAATAGTTGTACCTGGTTATAT